TAGGGAAAAAAAGAAAAGTGATTTTGAAACATTCTGTGAGTGTTTTAGTAAGAATATATCTTAATGGTATTGTAAATCCTTTATAAGTCATAGTGGAATATAAACGAGGGTCTATAGGGGTTACTTAAATCTTTCAGTTACTTTCCTGTATTTTATGAGTAAAATTACAAGCTATCATGGGATTTGTAAATTTGGAGATTTGCAAAGATCTTGATATATACCTTGTAGAAGTCAAAGGTCTTCTCCAAAAGTAGCCTTATACCTCTACACATGAATTTTGGTCCATGTAACTGATAGTTTCCTTAAGATTGCTTTATAGAAGTGATATTAGGTCAATACGAGGCAAAAGAATCTAAAAAAGTTCTCCACATTGAAAATATTTCCAGTACTGTCAGTAAAATTTGCCTATTTAAAACACTTCTTGGGTTAAGGCAATAATTTCAGAAATCCTCTGAAAACAGTACCGAAAGAAAAAAAATTAAGGAAAGATTCTATGCTGTTTACTAATCATTATGATATTGATGTAAGAAATGCACAATGCAACTGAGGGCTTGTGGAAGTCCAGATTGGAAATCATCCTGTCCACTAGCAGAGAAGGCAAGAGAAGAAGCAAAGGTTTCAGGAGAGCTGAGGAAAACCCTGATGACCGCGGGTGAAGCAGGTAGGATAACAAAGTAGGGAGTTTAAAAGATAAGAGAGTGTGAAAATAAACTGACTATATTTACTACTTTTGTTCAAGTTCAAATCTTGATTTAAAATACTTAATAATGTGTAAAGTTTCCTATCAGGGGACTAGGGAAACTTGGATATTCCTCTTTCTTAGATACCCTTTCCTTCTTGAGATTTCTGTTCTAAGAAACTGGACATTCAAGAGCCCCATGAAGGGAGACCTGGAGTCCAGAGAAATTTGACAGATGGTTCTGCAGAACCTCCAGGCTCTGCAGAAGGGACTGTGCTGACTGACCAACATCAGAGTGACAAGGGTCACAAATCAAGAGAATGCTTGAAAATCCAAATGCAGTACATGCATCTTGACAAGAGTACACGAATAGGAAGTGGGTGTTGAAATACCTCATGTGGCCACTTAAGGTATCCCATAAAATTATCAGGAAAGGAATAGTAAATTCTCAAAAACACATGCACTAGAATCAAGCCAGAGCTAATAGAAAGCAAGTATAGAATACTGCTTTTAACAAGATAAATTCAGTGGTCATAACTGCATCCTCCATGGGATATGGTTCTATATAACCAAGCAGAATCACATAACCTCCTTCTCTATTTGTGAATGGTAACTAATCCAAAGTTTTATCTCCACCATTCAATGTTTACCCAGTAAATCATTATTGAGTGTTTATTACCTACCTAAGTACTATGCTAGATGCTGGTGGTGTTCACATCATTAAGAAAGCCAGTAATGATTTTGCTTTTGCTTTTGTTTTGGTTTTGGTTTGTTTTTGTTTTTGTTTTTGGGGTTTTTTTGATTAAAAGAAAATGGGACTGCTTATTGTTTTAAGGACTGTTATCAATATCATTGAGAAAAAAGAATTTTTTCCCTTACCATAGATTCTTCCACTAATGGAACATTTTTTAAAAGTCATGATGTTTTGAGTGAGAGTGCCAGTTTTGTCAGAGAAAACATATTCAATCTGGCCCAGTTCTTCATTGAGTGTGGTTGTCCGAGCTTCAGCAGGTGTTGCTTTCCTAGAGTAATACATCCTCCGATCCCAGTTTATAAAATAACTGTGTCCCAGGCGAATTACTTCCACACTTGTATCCAGTAAAATGAGAGAAAAAGAAATGCTCCATCAATCACAGAACATACAAAGCTTTGAAAAAATAATAAGTCTGCCAAAGCTTTCAGAGTTCAGAAGAAGATGTGACACTCTGTCCCTAGATCCTAGTGATCTTTAGAAGCATCTCCACAGTTTGGTCATAAACCTTTCTAAGTCATTTCCTTGCAGCACCATAAAACAATAGTCTGGTTTAGAATAAAACTTTAGGAAATGTTCCACGGTTCTCTACTTTCATTAAACAGGCCAACTGGGGATTTCTTGGGTAGTATATTACTTTGTATCTCTTCCAATATTTTAGGGGAAACTATTATTGAACATGTTTGGCAGATGTCTGACCTAAACAAATGTTTTGCTGAGGGCTTTTTCTCCAATACATTGTTTGATGTAGCTTTAATTTACCAAAAGAAATAGAAATTATCTCCATGAGGCACTCATCAATAGATATCCAACAGACACCAATAGATATTGCATGGAAACAGGGGTATAGTGTCATGCTACTCTGCCAATTTACCAAGAGAATAGTGTTGTCTCTAGTGATAATCTGTGACTTCCCAGCTCCAGAAGCAGAATTTCTGTGGTCAAGGGTGTGAACTCTTTCTATGTTTGTCATATATAACACCAAACTTATTTCTAAAATGTTTAAAGCAATGTAAGCTTCAACCATCAGATTATTAAACATTACCATGACTTCATTTAGGAAAGGCACCAGCAAAACCAGGCCCATCCTGATATGGATACCGTACTTCAGCTGTGAAATATTGGTTTCCTTGACCAAAAATGAAGATTTTTCTGCTGAGACTTCCCCTCCAGACTCATTTCTAGAAAGACACCAGCGAAGCCAGGCTTATCCTGATATGGATACCATACTTCAGCTGTGAAATATTGGTTTCAGTTTCCAATCATCTGAATATGATTAGGGTCAGAATATTCCTCTCTTCACCCTGAATCTGATGCACAAATAGTGAAAATGGAACAGAAGAAAGATTGAAGATCACCTCCTTCTGCTTGTGTCTGAACACTCAGATTGAACTTCAAGAATCAGGAAGAAATGCACCATCCATCAGATGACTAGAAATCACCACAGTATCACAAGACATGGGAAAGCAAGACAATACCTCTCCTCCAGAGGAAAAGAATAACTCCTCTTCATCCTCAGACAGTACAATGAAACTCAAGGAAATGTCTGATGAGGATTTTAGACTATTCATAATGACAATGCTAATAAAGATGGGAGAGAAGAGAGACAATGAACTGCAGAAGAGACAGAAGAAAAGAGCTGACGAGTTCCAGGAGGTGAGGAAATTCTTGCAAGATCTAAAAGAGGAAGTACACACTCTAAAAAAGAATCAAATGGACCTGTTAGAAATGAAGGCTATAATACAGGAAGTCAAAATCTCCCTTGAAAGTATTAAAAGCAGACTAGATCATAGAGAAAATCGAATCTCAGATGTAGAAGATAGAATCACTGGCCTAGAAAAATCCACCATGCAGACTGAGAAAATGCCCCCCCCAAAAAAAGTGAGAATAATATACAAGAAATACTAGATACCATCAAATGTCCAAACATCCAGATAATTGGTATCCCATAAGGCAAAGAGATTCATAAGGGCATTGATAATCTATTCCATAAAATCCTTCAAGAAAACTTTCCAAACCTAGAGAAGCACTCAAAGATTCAGTCCCAAGATATACAAAGGACCCCAAATAGAATCAACCCAAGAAGATCTTCTCCAAGACACAATATAGCCAGATTGACCAAAACCACAGACAAAGACAAGAGAGAAACAGCAAGTTACCTACAAAGGATATCCAATCAGGCTAACAGCTAACCTTTCATCAGAAACAATGCGAGTGAGTAAAGAATGGGAAAATATATTCAAATTGTTAAGGGAAAAGCAATTTCAACCAGGAATACTGTACCCAGCAAGATTATCCTTAATATGGAAAGAAAAGACAAGAATATTCTCAGATAAACAAAACCTGAAAGAATTTAACAGCACCAGACCAGATCTCCAAGAAGTTCTCAAACAAGTACTATACCAGGAAAATTAAATACAGACACATGGAAATAAGAGTTCGAAAACTAAGAAAATGGCCAATTATCGAGACATGTCTGGAGTTAAATATTATACTCCAGAACTTAATCAGGAAGATCGGACCACAACAGAAGATAGATTAAGTACATGAGACTGAACTGGTGAAATAGCATTTTATGACTTTTGACTAAAGCATTGCTGATTTTCTTCTAGGCTTTGTTTTCCAGTTTTAAGGATTTTGTCCTGTTTTGAGCTGCCTGTTTCCTGGCTTTAAGTTTTAAGTAAAGTTTCTTATTATTTCTTTGATTTACTAAAGCTAAAGCTCTTTTCCTGAAATTAAAAATATATTTAAAAATACCTTTTAATTACCATAGTAAGCTTTATACCATTAGCTAGGTGTTACTTTATAGTATATTCATTCTACTCAGAGTTTCACATCTAAAGTCAGACGTGTATTCACTGATATGTACACACCAGCTAAATTTGCTATTGAAAGTAGTTAGATTACTTAAGAAATTTTCTGAATCAATAAAATGTGTGTGGGGAGGAAGTGATGGAAAACAACTGTAGACACCTAAAATAGTGTGGGAGGAGGGTGGGAAATGGCAGAGGGTGAGAAATAGGAGTAAAATATATATACATATGTGTATATATGAAACTAGAAATGAAAAATTAATGATAACATGCATGATTATGCCACTACCAGTGTATTTTGGATGGAAAATCACATTTTGTATGCTGTGACAATGCTCAGGGAATGAATTTAAATCAATTAATTTAAAATGTTTCAGAAGAAAATTATAGTGCACTTGTGACTAGATTCTAGCTTTGTCCATAGTTTTAGTTTAAGGTATTTTGTGAATCAATAAAATGTGGGCGAAAATGTAAAAATAATAATAATAATAAGGGGACCAGAAGTTAGCGTAATGGCTATGTCGCCGGACTCCCAAGTAGTTGACCGCAGTCTAAGTCCTGGGTCTGACGGCTTGGACTCACGCCGGGCACGTGTGCTTGTGTGCCCAAGATCCCGAAAGGAGAATGGAGGAGAAGGGATTGCGGCGTGGCCATCCCCACTGGGGGGTGATTTCTTGCTTTCTGTCTCTCTATCTCTCTCTGTCTTTCTGGCGAGTACACATGCCCTATAGCAAAAACCTCTGAAAAAAAAAAAGAAAAATATAATAATAATAAAATTAAATTTTAAAGAAGTCTTGAAAAAATGGGTATTATCAAAAAACTATGTAGGATTTCAAAAATTTTGCACCAAATCAATTTATCCTTTGTCACAAAACAAACAAACAAATAAAAAAATTATCTTGGGGCCAGTAAATGGAATAATGGTTAAGGCACTAGACTCCCACATGGCTGACCATGGTTCCAGTCCCAGATCTGGTGGCTTGAAACTCACACCAGGCTTGAGTACATACATGCCTAAAATTCTGAGAGGAGAATGGAGGAGAAGCAATTGATGCATGGCCATCCTCCCTGTGAGGGATGATTTCTTGCTTTCTGTCTCTTTGTCTCTCTAGTAAGTAAGTGCATGTACCCTGTAGCAAAAATATCTTAAAAAATAGTAATAATAATAAGAAAGCATTATATTTTGCTATATGCCATCCTGGCATATCATTACTGTTTATTACATTTTTTAGCAGTGAGTTGAAAACTTTCTAAAAATGTTATTGCCCAGTTGCAGTTCTTCTTAGAGTTATCTAATTCTGCCTATTTCATTTTTTCCTATTCTGATATTAGTGTATTTCTTATTGATCTGTAAAAATTCTATAGATATTAATGCTATAAACTCTTTTCTTAAAGAATTATTTCATTTCATTTACTTATATTTTAATTTGAACAGAGAGGGACAGAGGGAGAGGGACAGAGAGAGAGGGAAAGTGAGAAAGCAAGCCACAAGGTCCAGGACTCGAACCATGGTCGCCCATGTGGGAGTCCAGCACCCTTAACCACCACGTCACCGGCCAACTCCAATGCTGTCAACTCTAGTCAAAAAGAAAAAAAAAAAAAAAAGGCAAAACATTTTAAACAATTTATCATTTGTTTCTAGTTTTTTTAATGTTTTCATTTTTCTTTTTAATCAGATTTATCAGTGGGACATAGTTTCTGTTTATGATTTCTGTTTTAGGAGTTTTGCTGGGTAGGCCTTCACTATGCCAAGATTATATATAGAGACATCTGTAATTTTTTGTCTACTTTTTATTGATTTTCCCCCACATTTAATTCCTTATCCCAACTAAAATTTTTGAAATATAATATACATTATAAGTAGCAAATTTCAATTTTTCCAAATAGAATTTCTTTTAATCACCATTTGTTGAACAATGAATCCTTTCCCTGTTAAGTTGGAGACTTCTTATAATCTCATAAATCTTACTTTCTAGAATCTGATTTATGGATTTTAATTTTGTTCCTTGATATGCTACTCAATGCACCTCTTATTTTCACTACTGTAACTTTATAAAACTTGGCAATGGGATCAGCAGTTTATGTAGTGGTTAAGGCGCTGGATTCCCACATGACTGACTATGGTTCAATTCTTGGACCCAAATGAAATTCATGCCAGGTGCATGTGCACCCATACCCAAAATTCTGAGAGGAGAATGAAAGAGAAAGGATTACAATGTGGCCATCCATGCTGGAGAGGTGATTTCTCACTTTCTCTCTCTCTCTCTGTCTCTTCAGTGAGCGAGTACCTGTGCCCTATAGCAAATATCACTCAGTAAAAGAAAAAAAAAATGAAAGAAAAAGAAAGAAAGAAACTTGGGAATACCTGGGACAAACAAAAGCACCTTTATTCTCTTCCTTTTCAAAATTCTTAGCTTAAATAATTTTATTCTTTCCTCCACTCATGAATGCACTCATCTAAATAAACTTCAGTGTATCAGTTTTCCTATAAAAATTTATTTGGGATTTTCATTAGGCCTATGCT